TACTCAATTGTTGTCCTAGTCAGCCTGGGCTCCTCATACCCTCCGTGGGAACTGATGTTGCTTTGCATCCTATTCAACTGAACTGGACAGACTGTGCCTCAAAACGCCCCTCTTCAACTTGCAGAAAAATCAAGATATTTTCTTGAAGATGTCTAATAAATACAATCCACATTTTCTCCTCTCTTGCTGCACAGACCAGCTATGGAACTGATTTGCCTGGCCTTGGCACGGAGTTGTATTCCTGTTTTCAGACGTACTGTATTTGGAAAATTAAATTAGGAAAATCTTTTTAATATGGTTAATGCTGTTTCCTGTTTCTGACTTTGGATGTCACACACAAAGCTAGTCCCAAAATATAGTTAATAGTCAGGGTCTGAGACCATTACCAAAGGGAAAAAAAAAAAAAAAAAAAAAAGTTGTGTGATGATTGACTCACGTTAAATGATTAAGTGTAAACATGCACAATTGTGGAAATGTTTAGATACACTCAGGCATTCTTACTGTACAGAGGCATAAGTGACACTGACAGTAATGCTAAAAAGCCATCAGAAGGGGGCTGTATTTGATGTATATAGTTTTTTTTCATAACTGTTGCAACCAGCTGCTAGAGACTGGAGTGGGAGGAAGACGAGCCCAGATTCTGGCTCCCGCGTTCCCGGTGAGGAATCCCTCCTCCGCCGACAGATCTGTCTACTTCATTTTAATCCTGCTTAAATTGCACCTCAGTCAGCAAAGGAAACCCAGTGGCTGCTTTGCTTTCAGCAAAGCCTGCTGCAGTACTGAAATGCTACTCAGGGCCAGTATGGGCTACCACATCCAGCCCAAACTCATCAACATCATTGAAATCTGCCAGAGCACATTGCTTTAAAACAAATTAACGTTCCAAAGGGGCTTATCCATTCACAGCAAAATACTACTTGGCCCTCGCTCGACTAGTACAAATACTATTACACCCACATGATGAAACACAAGCGGTCCACTGATGCATCAAGATAATTAAGTCCTTTTTGCCCCCCTTTTTCAACCAGATGTGTTTAGGTATTTAATTAAAAAGTGCATCCCCAAAAGGTTAGTACATTCACATGTTATATTTCACTTTTTCCGCACCAAGCACTTTCAAACTGCTGCTGTTGCTAATACAGACAACGCTGGGGCAAGACAAATATCTGTACATATGGCTCTTTTACAGTTTTCTTTTTAAATTATCACTTTGATTTAATGAGGTTTGAAGGGTTAAGCATTCAAAAAAAAAGGTACTCTTTTGTTGTAAAGGAACAACTGAAACAAAAAATCATTAATATGTAGTCCCTTTAGCTTTTCCATCCATCTCTCATGCCATCATTATTAGCCCACAAAGGTGCCTGAACCATGCTTGTCACTAGAGATAGCTAGCCTGACCCTCCCTTTCGTCCCACCTACACCCCAGAAAGGTGGGGAGCACAGGATAAGTTCTCCAAACACTTTTAATGCCCAAAGAAGGCGTGGGGGGTAGTAGGGAAGCGCATCAGCTGAAACCCAGTCTCTGCTGACTGAAGAACCAAAGGAAAAGTTGTTCTTATGGGAGATGGCACTGAAATACCAGGCAGGGGAAGGTGCTTGGGCCCAGGGCTGGTTGCTCTTTCTTTCACAGTTTGGGACATTTGAATTCTTATTCTAACATAGCTTGTGATAGAGGTACAATGAATGCAGCGAGTGCCAGATCCGAGTTGATTCTGGCTTGATAATCATTCTGTCCCCATTCATCCCACTTTGAGAATTAAGGGCTGTCTTTATCGTTGTGGCCATTTCCTGTTCTCTCCTGATAACAGGGGAAAAATACTTAGACAGCTTCAGATAAGAAGACAAGAAATGCTTATAAAACAAAAAGCATATTTAGCTCTGCTGGGAAGCTCACAGAAGGATGCTGAGATGCAGTGATATGAATCTCTCTGCCGGTGAATGTGGGGGTTGGTCCACCAACTACTCGGTTAATAAATTTATTATTTTCCACGAGGCAATGGAAAAGGAAGGCATGAAAGCAGAAGCCCCAGCAATGCTCACGGCCTCCTTAGCCTGCTTCAAAAGATAAAGATAGTTGGGCAATGGAGAAGAAAAGCAAAGCAAGAAATAGTACTAGCAGCAAGTACTGGAAAAAAAATGTACACACTCTCTTCCCCTTCCCCTCTTCCCCTTTCTAAATTGTAACTATGTGTTTGCTGTATGGAGACCCTGCTAAGATTTTCTCCTTTTCAAGGTATCACAAAGGAAGAAGGAAGACTGAATTTTTTTGCACAATTAAAACCAAGTCAGCTGGCTCCAGACCCACTGAAAATCAGAAGACTGAGACCAGTTTGGAGTGTAACTTCCATGTGTCCTAATTCTATTGCTCTCAAAGGAGTGCAACCGAAAAGACTAGAGCAGTGTTTCCATTTCAAAGGAGTGGACTGAATGGGAGATGACTTTGGAAAAAGAGGTTGGGTAAGAAGCATTTCAATGTTCATGCATTTTTGGAAATGTATAAATAAAACAGAGGGAAAACTTTGCCCGGTGCTATATGATGAGAAAACTTCCTGAAGAGGGCATAGTTAAACTGTTGATTCATTGCCTCGCTGAAGCACCACATGCACATACACATACACGAAGATCCCCATGGCAAACACCAATCAGAAAATCCCTCAGCTCTGGGAAAAATGCCAAAACCAGGTCTGCCCCCAAATTCTGTGCCTGGTCCTAGCAAACGGGAAAGAAAAATAAAAGCATAACATGGAAAAACAAGTCCAAGATGAATGACTATATCCCAACAACATTCCCTGGACTTTCCACTCTGCTGTGAAAGTTTATCACACGCCACACAGCGGGAAGCGTTGCTGAAGAGCCCTCCATCCCTCTCCGGGTGGGTGAGTGCTCCTGTGTCCTGTGGCAGGTCCTGGGGGGGGGGGGGGGGTCTGGCTCCTCTCCCCCCGTGGCATTTCTGTCGCACAGCACTGCCTTATGGAGGGTACACGTGGAAAGGAGAAACCATCTGAAAGCATGGCACCGAGATGCGCGGCTCTGAACCAGCCGAATGTGGGGGGTCCTCCCTTCCCCTCTTGGGCCATCTGTCACGCGAATTACTCGTGTCCTGCTGGCAGAGCCAGCGGGCTCCTTTCCACGCCAGGGACAGCTATCCGAGAGGATCTTTCCCCTCCAACAGCCCCCCCATCTACACCGACTGATACATACCCACTGACAGCTAGGTCTACGTGCACACGGTACTATCAAAACCTTTAAATAGATAACATCAAACCTGTCCTATCTCGAAACGGTGAATGGAAACGATGGTACGTAAGACACGGAAGAAACGTGACACGATGCATAAGGGATTTTTGTACTCTCGTTCTCTGCTACCCCCTTTTCATGACCAGGTTTCTGATCTTCATCAATGCCCGGTATAGGTGAGGGAACGTGACTCTGAGGGTGGAGGGAAGTATCACCGGGAAATGGATTAGCACCGTTACACGTACAGACACGATGTACAGTGCATCCAGCCCACCGGCAGCAAGCCTACGGCTCCCGAAAGCCTGCCAGGGGCACCGGGAGTCCGAGCAACCAGCACCGCTCCCCGGTCGGAAGGGCCACAGAGGAGCGCGCTTCGCAACGGCTGGGTGAGAGCAAGGGGCCAGAGCTGTGCAGTCGTCTCGAGTGCCTCTCCACAGAGATGATGGGGGGAAAAACAAGCAATCTTCCACTTGCACTAAGCTAACAACTCCAAATCAAAGCTTTGGTGCCTATTGCTATTTCTTGGTGGCACATGTGGAAGAAAACATAAACAAAAACAAAAACAAACAAGCAAACAAAACAGCTTCTAAAATCCCTTTTCTCTTGTTAACCACAGAGCCAGGATTTCCAAGTGCTTTAATGAACCTGCACATCCTTGCTATGCGCAGCTCTGCCCACATGCAGCAGCAACCTCCCTCACTCTCTCCAAGTGTTGAGGAGGTTGTTAGAAAAGTATTTCCCAGCAAAAGACACGCATTTCCACTTTAGGTCTAACTCCTGGGAAGAGAGAAGAAAAGCACCGAGAAAGTTTATCCGGCATCAGCTCGCAGGAGAAAAAGCCTCCTGCTGTGGCTGTCTGCCGGGTGGGTGACACGCTGAGCCAGGGCTCTTTGTGATGCTCTTAAGACATCGCTAAACACGCACTGAGAAGCGAGACATTTTCACTTGGAAAGGGGAGTTTATACACGGGCTACGGGGAAAACAGACCTAGATGTACTCCAGAACCCCCGACAAGGGAAGGGAAAAGAAAAGAAAAAAAAGAAAAAAAAAAAAAAAAAAAAAAAAAAAAAAAAAGAGAAAAAGCATAAACACAGAAACACGGTGACTCCCTTCGGGTGTATCATGTTTTAGGTACGAAGGAGGAGGGTGTGGGGGGGAGCCGGGGGGCTCACGCACACCCCTCGCCTGCGGAGCCGCGGGGCACGGCGGTGCCGCCGCAGGGGGACCCCCGCCTCGCACCTGCCGTTCCCACGCACCTGGGCAGCCCACGCGGGACGCGCCGGCGGGGCTCCTCCAGCCCAGAGCCCCCGCTCCGATCTCGGTGCCCCGCTGGAGGACGGAGCGCTGGGAAACGCCTGTCCCGGGCAGGCTCAGCGACGGCAGAGAGCCGAGCCGCCGGGGGCGACCGGACCCCCACCACCAAAAAAAAAAAGAAAAAAAAAAAAAAAAAAAAAGGAGACGCCGGCGGGGGCCGTGCATGCGGGGGGGAATGCGCCGCTTGCACATATACGCACAGAAAAAGAATTTAAAAAAAAATAAATAAAAATAAAAAATCACGGCATAGATTGGCATTTTCAGCCCGCACTCGGAGGACGCCCCGGCCGCTCTCCCTCCCTCCAACCATCCATCCACCCCTGCACCCCTCCATCCATCCATCCATCCATCCATCCACCCCTGCACCCTTCCCTCCCTCCCTCCCTCCATCCATCCCTCCATCCATCCATCCCTCCCTCCATCCATCCCTCCCTCCATCCCCGCCTTACCTTGCGCGGCGGAGCCGGGGCGGCTGGCCCCCAGCACGGCCAGGGCGGGCAGCACCACGGTCTGCAGCAGGTATCCCAGTCCCAGCCCGCAGCGGGCCGCCGTCCCCTCCAGCCCCTTCCCCATGGCCGGGGCAGGGGTGGGCGTTCGCGCAGAGCCGCCGAGCTTCTCTGTGCCGCCTCTGCCTCCGCCAGCCCCGTCCCACCGCCGGGCGCGGAGGGGCGCGGAGGGGCGCGGAGCGGCGCGGAGCCCCCGCGAGGCGCTCAGGCTGCGCGGGGGGCGGCGGGGCGAGGGGCACCGCTCGTGGCGGGGGGGCAGGGGCGCTGCATGGCCCCGCGGAGGGGCGCGGAGCGGCGCGGAGCCCGGCGGAGCGCTGCTTTCTTCCCGCGGGCGGCTCGGCGAGGCGCGGCTGCCTCCACCCCGGGGGTGGGCGGGGGCCGGGGCCGGGGCCGGGGCCGGGGCCGGGGCTGGGAGAGGGGGGCTGCGCCGGCCGCCTGCGATAAAATGCGAGCCGGAGCGAGGAGCAGACCCAGAGGGAAGGGGGCGGGGGAGGCTGGGAGCCACCCGCTGCAGAACCGGCCCCCTTTCGCCTTCCCCCGCCCGCGCCCCCTGCGCGCACACCCGCGGGCACACTCGCACGCAGATGCTAGTGCACACACGTGGACGCATGCACACGCACCCCCAACCCCCCGCCCCAATACACACACCCACCCCCCCCCCCCCTCCCCTCTCCCCGGGCCGTGCAGCCGGGAGAAGCCCCGGCAGCTCGGGCTGCGCTGCCCGGACCCCGCTACGCCCGTGGCTCTCTCGTCCTCGCACCGTCCCCGTGGGCTTGAGCCCCCCCCCCACCACACGAACACACACACACACACACACACACACACCGGCAGGGCTCTGGGGGGGCCACGGCCGTCCTTAGGGAGCCACAAAATGCGGGGGGGGGGGGGGTGAAGCTCCATGCCGGCCAGGGGGGCATCCGTCTGCTGGGTGGGGGACAGGGGGAGAGGCAGGACCAGGAGGGATGTCGGGGAACCCCCCACCCCTGGAGAACATCTCTCCGTTTGCCTCTCAGGGTATCTATCTTAAGGCTGGGGTCGCTCCCTGCCAGACCCTACCCTTCCACCCTCCTTATACCCCCAAAAAGCTCTCCCCTGAGCTCTACCTTCACCACGCACCCATCAGACCTCGCTCGGCGGGACGGCAGTGCCCACGGCTCGGCTCGGCTGCTCAACCAGGGCTCGCCTGGGTTTTACTGTTGTTTCCTAGGGCTCGGTTTGGGTTTGTGTTTTTTTTTTGTGTGTGTTTTTTTGTTGTGGTTTTTTTTTTTTTTTTTAAGTTGCCTTTCCCTTCGCAGAGCCCAGGCTGTGACCAGCCCCAGCTACTTTCACGCCAGGTTTGCCCAATGCCAGGGGGCTGCAGCCCCGCAGCCCTCCCCACGACATGGTACTCCAGGGAGCATCGCCTTCTCCAGCCCAGAAGCTCCCCCAGGCAGGGCTGTATGAGAGGCAAGGAGAGATATTTTCCTCCGAAGCGCGGCTGGGATCTTCCCAGACACACTGGCTTTGCCTTCCGCCCCTGGCAAGAAAACGGGAGCAGCATTGCTGCTGCTGCAGGAGGGTTTCGTAGGGGCCACAGGAGCTGCCTGCCCCCAGGGATGCTCCGTCCCACCTGCCTCCTGACTTTAATGCCCTTCCCAGGGAATTGCCCAGACTGTTCCCATCTCTGGGTTTGGTGGGGCAGGTTTTTTTTTTTTTTCTCCTCCACAGCAGCTGAGACAAAGCTGCAGTATGACAAGAAAGCAAAGTTTTGTTGTTTTTTTTTTTTTTTTTTTTTTTTTTTTTTTGTACAGGCACAGAGCAAGAAAAAAGGGGCAGATTTTGTTCAGAGCGGTGCACCAGGGTATGCCTGGGTGGTGCCCCAGGAAGGGTGCTTTTCAAGCCCAACGGTCTGATTTGCCCAGTAACTCTAAGAAGTTCTCTGCAACGAGAGCACGCCAGCTCTCCGTCTCCTGGCTGTGCTACAGCTTTCAAGGGGGCAAGTCCCATCGGCTTCAAACACAATGGCATAGTTCAGAAAGCATTAAGGCTCCACCACAACCCGTGAGTTAAGTCCTGAGGCTGTGTAAGCGGTGGAAAGGAAACGCTCAACTTGTAGCCACGTTCAAAGGAGAATGTGGCTCCTGAACAAGAGCTTTTGTTAATGCATGCGCTCCCCACACCGATCCCTGACCTCGTGCTCCCTAGCCTTATGTCTCAGGTTTGTAGTCAACTGAGCAGTTCCCCACATATGATGCTTGTTTGCCAGTTTTGCTGTAACTCTGTAAACTGGGAGCATCTCTCATTTGTTGGGTAGTTCCTGTTTCCCCTGTGCTAGGGGAAACTTTGCAGAGGCAAGAAAAGAGACCCCTGGAAGATGTCACACGTGGAAGATGTATTCGTTGCAGCACCAGCTGACGGGCACATCTACTGCCACAAGGGACGGGGGAGGGAGGGCTTGCTTCTCCATTAAATGGAGTTAATTTATTTTTGATGTTTTAGGGCTTCCCAGGAGTAATACCTATAGTTCCAGGCTTAGTTTCTAGTTAGTAGCTCAGTGACCTCATTAAATAGGTCCATCCCGATTTCAAGATGACATCCCTGCAGCCCTGCCCGGGGATCCCTGGTGGCTGCCAACCTGTCAGCCTCTCTGCCCCGGAGTAGGTGCACGGGGGAGCATTGCTGCCTCACAGCCCTGACAGAAGTGATGGTACAGGGACCACAAGCTCTCAGCTTGGCGAGAAAGCAAGTCTTTTCCCAGGACCCAAGGTGTGGTGGCCAACAGAGGAACAAGGGTACTGCAGCCGGAGGTGTTCAGTAACCACTTTTCTGCTGGAAGTAGGTATACCTCAACCTGGAGAAGACGGTTCAGGCAGCAGCCACAAATAGCTAAATAGGGGTCTTGTCTGGAAAAACATGCTTTCAAATCCTTCTGTGCTCCATTATACGTAACAAAGGGCATCCAAGGATGCTGCCGGTGCCTGCATCACGGAGCTTCCTCAGAGGTCCTCCGTGCACCAACAAGCAGCACTTGTGCCTGGGCCGTCCCTAATGCCACCGCACTGGATTTTGCCTGGTCAGGAGCCAGTCTGTCCCAAGGGCTCTTTACCTTTCTGCCTATGAGATAAGCAGAATTATTAGCCCATCTTAATAAGTTTCAGATTTGACACAGGAGTTAAAGGACTGAGATAATGCAGGGATTTGGGATTAGAAAGTGCAAATTGCCTGGATTTATTCCAAAAGTGTGGGGTTTTTTTCTCTGATAGAACCTGGCTGAGGAGGTGTTCTCTCAGCTGCTTAAAAAGTTAGTGACTTAAAAGTACATATAATGTAAGTTTATCTTTTTGTCACCTTTAATGTCCTTAAAAATCACTGCACACCCTTCATAAACTCATCTGAAGCAAATAACAATCTCCAGTTTTCATGCTTAGACAAAAACACCAAGTGTCAAACAGTTTGCATTTGGAAAGTGGATTTAGCAGCCTAACAGGTGTTGCCTTAGCTAGTTTTTCAGGTAAGTTCAAGAAATTGCAACACCAAATCAGATACCCACAGTAAGTAACTAAAATGTAGGGTAACATTTAAAAGGTTTCTGTGTAACTTGTGTACTTCAGGGTTTGTTTGTTTGTTTTTCCAAAAGAGCTTTTTAAGTAAGAGTTAGGTTCTAAATCAATACTTGAAGTTTTTCACCCTTGCTGTCAACTCTGGAATTTCAAGCTCTTGACAAGCAGTTTTTGAAAGCACAGAGCTGGTGAATTTGACTTCAGCATATTTTATTGCCCAAGCATCTGGAGTTGCAAAACAATCAATTAGAAGGCATATTGGATTTGAAAAGTCTTATCAGCTTTCATAATTAATATTGTGAACGGTAGTATACGTACCAGGTTTTGCTCTAGATGTTTTCTTAGGATCCTCTACATTTATAATGATTTATACAAATCTTAACCTAATTACAGAACTCAAGGGAAATTTGTGTTTTCTTTTGTTACAGTGGCATAACTCAGGACCACATTCAGCAGGCACTGTATTAAAACAAAGAGCCCCGGTCCCCACTGCAAGGAGTTGTGAAATTTGATTAATGACTTCGGAGCAGAGGTACTAAGGTCCCCTGTGTTACGTGGGACTTGAGCAATGCTGGTTTGAACAAGGAGGGGAATCTCTTCTGTGTGCTGATAATTACGAGTAAGATGCAGTAACCCATCCTCACACTGTGCATTGCATTCCTGGGAGGATACTGTCACCTCTGGGCAACCGGCCTGAGAACTCATTTGCTACCCAAACATTAATAAGGGATGCAGATTTAGGCTCCACATCAGGTGATTATGTTTGATAGTCAGGATGCTCTCAGCTACTGAGAGACACCTAAAGCAGCGTGGAGTATTTGAGCAAGGGCTGTATTTTGCAAGCTTCTCCCCTAGCCGTGTGCGATGCTGGGTAGCATGTGGCGTGCATGCCAGGAAAGGTATATCACACACCTGCTTTTGGCTCCGCCATTCCTGCAGGCTCTGCCATGCTGCTCTTATTTTATGGCAGAGCCCAGCACAACGCAATCCAAAAAGCAGGTGTGCGACAAGCCTCTCACTTCACTGACATACATACCACAAGCTATCAAGTACTGCAGTTTTCTCTTGCAGTTTAGATAGGCAATTACTTCCTCTGTGTGATACCATGAATTGGCAAATGAAACGACCCTTCTGATATCTTACATTTCAAGAGCAGCATAACCCCATTCCCAGTAAAAACTTCTGAGCATTTTTTTCACGCTGGGAATGACTGACTGTGGTAGAATTGTGGTCCGAGAAAAATTTCCTTCATACCTAGTGAAATCTAATAAAACAACTGATTGTGTTTCAGCTTCCAAAATCACAATCTTTGCTTCCTTATTTCTGGAACCAGATCTTCCAAAGTTCGTTCATACTCATGCACTACATTAGTGTGCTAAATTTTCAGCCTTCACATTATATTAGCAAGACCATGGGTCAACATATACGTTACTACCCACAGAAACAGTTTAAACAGTGTTTCACCTCATTACAGCCATCACTTCGGAACTATGCTGAAACACCTGGGAGGCCGTATGATGTCCTGTTCCTGATGCCTTTTCAGTGCACAGCTCCCCTTCATTTAATAAATTTATGGTAGTTAAAACTTGGTTGTCCTCACCATCCTTTCAAACAGTTAGGCTCTTCAAAATATCTGAAGAGGATGTTCCTGAACTAAAGAACCATTTCAAGTAGTTATACTAAAAGTAGGGTTGAATTCTGTCCCTGTATTCATGCTGGATACTGTGCATATCATCCCATTATATCCTACTGTGCATGGCATCCTGTCATAACTTGTGCAAGAGGATGCTGCCGGAGCTGGGGA